TTAACGCAGCCGCCCAGCCATCGCTTGAATTCCGCACAGCAGCCGCCCAGCTGTCACTTGAATTCCGTACAGCAGCCGCCCAGCCGTCGTTTGAATTTCGGACAACAGCCTCCCAGCCGTTGCTTGAATTCCGCACAGCAGCCGCCCAACCGTCTTTTGAATTCCGCACAGCAACAAAAATAACCACAAAATGAAATAAATATAATTATTGGAATAAATTAACATAAATTATACAAAACTCGACATATATAATAATTAATTAAATAAAAATAAGATATAAAATATGAAAAAATCAAGAGTTATCAACAGTGCAACGACACATACTATATTAAAACACATAAAATATTTTTTCCATTTGAAAAAGAAAAAGATAAATGTCAATATAATAAGTGGCAGTGCAAAATTAATTGAAAACTCTGGAGAAACCATTATATTTCTCCTCGCGGTGATGAAAATTATAATATCTTATCTACGTAGCTTTAAGTGTGCTTCTTATGTTCCTATTTCAACCCCCCTCCCAAACGTAAAAAACGGCTCATCAACGTAAATTAAGCATTTACGCTGGATATGAATCGCCGTCAATTATAAAATATCTTGAACCTATGGGTGATTTATTAAGTGCAAGATTTGCAGCTTTTCATTTGACGAATCATATTTTCCAACATTAGGGAAAGATAAAAATGAACCGAAAATAGATATTAGTTGGAAAATTCCATTGAATTTTTGTGATCATCGTACAAAACAATGTGAACTAGAAGTTCAACACATTATACATTTGCAAAATATTGCAAATCAAATTACCGGATGCATTCAATGACTCGAGTAAAGTCACACAATTATATATTCAAGCTGCCAATGCTTAGGTTAAAATAACTGTCCCGATGGACAAATTGCAAGTGTTAATGAATCAACAATACACTTAAAATGTATTAGACCACTCGATTCCAAAGACAAATATTCTCAAAAGAAAAAAGGAATGAACGATGATAATTATGAAAATATCAAGATTGACATTGATAAACCTCAATCTAATAAGGAAGTCAACCATGAAATAATTGCCTCGGAAGAGTACAATCTTGAAGAATATGATGAGATTATTTAAAACTCAATTAACTATGCTACTTCAAGGAAATGTGGAACCGTAAAGAGACAATTATGGATAATACACTCTCATACAGTTTAACACTTGATATAATGGAAGAAAATGAAGATTTAGAGCCAAAATCAGTTTATGGATGTTGGCTAAAGAATAACTGACCAAAATGGAAAAATACGATTCAATCAGAGTTTGACTCATTAAACAAAAGAGAGATCTTCAGATCAGTTGCTCAAACACTAGATAATATAAAACTAGTGGGATACAAATGAGTGTTTGTACAAAAAATAAATGAGCTTAATGACATCATGAGATATAAACCTCGTCTTGTAGCTCTGGAATTCTCACAAAGACTTTGAGTAGATTTCAATAAAAACATACTATTCGATTGTTGATGGAATAACATTTAGATATCTTGTGAACCTGGCAGTGCGATAGAAGCTCGACATGCGTCTTTTAGACGTAGTTACTGTATATTTTTATGGCTTATTAGATACTAATATTTATATGAAAGTTTATGAGGAATTCAATATGCTTGAAGCATAAACTTTAAACTCAAATGAATCATATTTCATCAAATTGAAAAAGTTATTATACGGAATTAAACAATTATGGCGAATGTGGTATAACTGTTTCAGTGAATATTTAATACAAGAAGGTTATAATAATGATCCAGTAATGCGTTATTATACAGAAAAATTGATTAAAGTTTTGTCATTATTGCAATATATGTCAATTATCTCAATTTAATTGAAACTCATGATGAAATTCAAATTGGAATTGAATATCTAAAGAAAGAATTTGAGATCAAGAATTTTGAAAAGATAAAATATTATCTGGGATTACAAGTGGATCATATTAATAATGGAATGTTTATCCATTACTCCACATATACTCAAAAGGTATTAAAACAAATTTATATGGATAAATCTCACTCTCTGAGTACACCAATGGTGGTCAAATCCCTTGATCTCAACAAAACTCCATTTAGGCCAATAGAAAAAAAAAAAGAGAAAATACTTGACCTCGATGTATCATATCTCAATGTTATTTGCGCATTAATGTACCTTGCCAATTGTATCAGACCAAACATATCTTTTTGAGTAAATTTACTGGACATGTTTAGCGCATCCCCGACAAAGCGCCATTGAAATGGTATCAAACATATTTTTTGTTATGTTAGGGAACTCATGACTTCAGTCTATTTTATTCAAATGAATCTCGGCTAGTTATTTGTCTGATCCACATAAAACAAAATATCAAATTGACTATTTATTTATTTATGGTGGAACAACAATCTCTTGGTGATCTCATAAACATATGATAACAACAACTTATTCAAACCATTTTGAGTTTTAGCAATTCACGAAGCCAGTCATGAATGCCTTTGGTTGAAGTCTATGACTTACTATATTCAGAAAAATTGGAACTTAATTTCTGATGATGTGTTATTTCTTACAATATTATTTGAAGATATGCAACTTGTATGGCTCAATTAAATGAAGGGTATATTAAAGGCGATCAAACAAAACATATATCTCCAAAATTGTTTTTCACTCATGATCTTCAAAAGAGTGGCGAAACTGATATGAAACAAATTCGATTGTCTAAAGATTTTGCAGATTTATTTGCGAATACGCTACCGACTGCAACATTCAACAAATTCGTATAAAGAATTGGAATGCGTCGGATGAAAGACATCAAATAAAGTCCAAAATAGGAGAGCACATTAATACAAGAATGTTGTACTATTTTTCATTCACTATGATTTTTTTCCACGAATGATTTTTTTTTTCTAATAAGGTTTTATCGAGACACATTTTTTCTATATAAATATTCAAAGGGTAGTGTTATAAGGGTAGTGTTATACACATATGCACTACGCAACTACTTGTAATGATACACATTGGTCTGTTTACTTGTAGGGTTTTTATACCGTAATTTTACTATTTCAACTATTTTTTTCTCAAAAAAACATTAAATTAAACACTTTTATTTATTTATTATATTATACAAAAAGTTTATTTTACATTCAAAACATCACATCAATACATATTTATATCACATCAAATAACTATTTTATTTCAAAATTTTACTATTTAAAATCAAGTTCCAAAATTAAAATCTTACAAGTAAACACACTTATATTCTTAGATGTTGTGTAGGCGAGAGGTGAATGATTTTAGATGACCGATAATGCCTATATATTTGTAAATATGAATAATGAATTGCAATTGCTTCACACTTATCCAATATTTATATATATAATATAACATGTCATACATATATTATTAAAACAACAAGCACAAAATATATATATATCTATAATTATATATATATATATAGATATTCTTGTCTTTTACGTCATTATATTTTTATATTAAAATATTTTTTATAATTATATACTATTTTATACTTCTAATAAAGATATTTTATTATTTTTTTCTTTTAATTTGTATTACATATGAATATAATATTAATATTTAAAGTTTAATGTCCAAAAAATAAATGAATACATCGTTACAAGATAGAAAAAATATTATTTATTATATAACTACTTATTTTCTATGACAGTATTAATATATATATATATATTTTTATCACAAAACTCACATTCAAACTAATTCCTCCGTCCCACTTCAAATGGATCTTTTGGAATTTTGTTGTAGATTAAAAAATAATAGTATGTAATTGGTTAATAGAAGTGTGTAAAAGGTTTTGACATTTTTGCCCTTTGACTTTATGTATAAAATAATTGTATGTATGATGATATATTTGTAATTTAGGTAAAAGTTACGAGTATTTTAGTATAGTATATGATTACTTTTACTAAAATAGGAAAAAGAATACTTTGAAGTGAGACGAATGAAAATTGTAAAAATGATATTTTGAGTTGGGATAGAAGGAGTATTATTTTTTTTAAAAAAATGTTTGATTGTAATTTAAATCTAATTTGAAATAAAATGTTAATTTGTATTTTGTTTAAATAATAATTTTATGCGATATTTTATGTAAGAACTTAATATATTTTGGGAAAAAAATTAATAGTAGTTCCAATATAACTAAATATATGAATTTGATCCAATAATAATAATAATAATAATAATAAAACTCATTAATTTTAGTTCACTATAATCAATTTCAATTAATTTCAATTTGACATAATTTTAAAAATATAAAGAATTTGACGTAATTTCATAAAACAATATATAAATTTTGTACAATTTTGCTAATTGAATTTTATAATTGTTATTTTTATTCATATTTATTTATTAAGAAAAAATAATGAGGAATACATCATTATAGTAACAATTTATTAAATCACATTAAAAACAAATAATAAAAAGACATTGATATTAAAACGTTCTTGTTGTTGTACACGTAGCACCTACGAAGGTGCTACGTTGTAACCATGGATGTTTTTTCCTTCTGCGTGAGGTTTAATTTTCACCTATAAATATAGGTGCTTGACGCAACCTAAATGAATGACAATAATTACATTCAATTACTTGTCTATTTCCCTATCTCTCTCGTTATTATATATATAAACCTTTGCATATATACATATATATATACTATACATCTATATTATATATTATAATATATACACTCACGCACACACATCTACATATATATATTTCCTTATCTATTATATATATATTATATACAATATATTAAAATAGTGGTTAGCGGCAGAAATAATTAATATTTCTATTGGCTAATCCTATAATAATATTACAACACGTTATCAGCACGATTATATATTTTAATTTCCGCAAGGTAATATTTCATAATTTATCTGTTTATTATGACTAGCATTGCCAAACAGGAATTTCTCCATCTCCTCGTTTCTGGCAAAAATTATATGGCATGGGCTCGCGATGTTAAAATGCATCTGGCATCAATGGGCTTGGAAAATACCATTGCCCAGGATAAAAACTCCCCGAGCCAAGATCGTGCAAAGGCTATGATCTTTTTGTGTCATCATATCGATGAGGCACTGAAAATGCAGTATGTCACGCTGGAATCCCCACTCGAATTGTGGGAGATATTGAAAGAAAGATATGATCATTTGAGGCTGACATTATTGCCAAGGGCACGAAGCGAATGGCAAAGCCTACGGCTTCAGGACTTTAAAACAGTCCAATAATATAATTCTGCAATGTTTAAAATAACATCACAGCTACGCCACTGTGGCGAAAATATATCTGAATATGATATGATGGAGAAAACTTTCTCCACTTTTCATGCCTCTAACATGGTTTTGCAGCAGCAGTATCGCAAAAGAGGCTTCCAGAAATATTTTGAGTTGATCACCTGTCTTTTGCTGGCCGAACAAAATAATGAATTGCTGTTAAAGAACCACGAATCTCGGCCGACAGGTGCAAATCCATTTCCAGAGGCAAATGCGATACAACCGGCAAATCCGATGCGTGGCCGTGGGCAGGTTAGAAATCAAAGAATTGATCGCGATCGAAATCAGAATCGCGGACGGGGCCGGGCAAACGCATACAGTCACAATAATTATCAAAATAGACACCGATATGTGCCAAATCGGCGTTACAATGATAGAAGGCCGTACAAGCCTCAACAGAGGATCAACACCGGGAGAAACATAAATAATGACGAGGAATGCACCCGGTGTGGAATCAAAGGCCATTGGGCCCATGTTTGTCGCACAGCCAGTCACTTGGCTGAACTGTATCGGCCTCAAAAGAAAGACATGGAATAATTGCCCTCGAAACAAATCACGCTGTCCATGATGACACATTTGACGATGTGATAAATGAAAATATCACGCTCCTGGATGCCGATGATCTGCTTGATATAGCTGATGATGTTAAATGATAAAATGATGTTGTATCTCTTTTGTTATTTTGATGTTTGCTGCCCCCTTTTTTTGTATTACCCCCTATAATATAAGTCTATTTTGATTATGTTACTAATACATGTCTTTTATTATTTTTACCTTCTTGCAAAGATATGGATGCCAAATATTTTGGAGCCGATGACAACATCTGCCTTATCGACAGTGCTACGACTCACAGCATTCTGAAAAACAAAAGTTATTTCTCCCATCTTGATATGGGAAAGACCACAATTGTTACTATCAGTGGTGCATCGAAAATGATTGAAGGCTCAGGAAAAGCTATTGTATATCTCCCAAAAGGGACAAAAATGGCAATTGAAAATGCCTTGTTCTCAAGCAAAGCTCGAAGGAATTTACTGAGCTTTAGTGATATTCGGAAAAATGGGTATCACATTGAAACATTGAATAAGGCAGAAAATGAATATTTTCTGATAACTCAGGTTGTGAATGGCAAAAGAATTGTGAAATAAAAATTGTCATCATTTTCTTCCGGCTTATATTACTAAAAAATCAGTGCCATTGAAACATATCACCTAGTAGACCAAATGGCTACTAGCAAATTTAAAACTTGACACGATCGACTTGGGTATCCTGGCAATGTAATGCTGAGGCGAATTGTTGAAAATTCAAATGGCCACTCATTGAAAAAGAAAAATATTTTGAGTCCGAATAAATTTGCTTGTGCTGCCTGTTCTCAAGGGAAGTTAATAATTAGGCCATCTCCAACAAAGGTTGGATTTGAATCCCCAGCTTTTCTGGAAAGAATTTAGGGTGATATTTGTGGACCAATAGATCCACCATGTGGACCCTTCAAGTATTTTATGGTACTAATTGACGCGTCAACGCGATGGTCACACGTATGTCTGTTATCTACTCGCAATCTAGCTTTTTCTAGACTACTTGCACAAATAATTAAATTGCGAGCACAATTTCCATATCACCCGATAAAGAAAATACGTCTAGATAATGCTGGAGAGTATTCATCACATACATTTGATGATTATTGCATGTCAATTGGGATTACTGTGGAACATCCTGTTCCCCATGTGCATACGCAAAATGGCCTGGCTGAATCCCTTATCAAAAGATTGCAATTAATTGCTAGACCATTATTGATGAGGTCTAAACTTCCTGTATCATGTTGGGGACATGCTATATTGCATGCAGCAGCCCTCGTGAAAATAAGGCCGACCAGTTATCACTGTTATTCCCCCACTCAATTGGTTTCTGGAAAAATACCAAATATATCTCACCTGCGAATATTTCGGTGTGCTGATTATGTTCCAATTGCGCCACCTCAACACACGAAAATGGGACCTCAAAGAAGGTTGCGTATATATGTCGGGTATGAATCACCCTCGATCGCAAAATATCTTGAACCAACAACGGGTGATTTATTTACTGCAAGGTTTGCAGACTGTCATTTTGATGAATCTCATTTCCCGACATTAGGGGGAGACAGTAATCAACTGAAAAAAGAAATTTCGTGGAAAATACCACTTGAATTTGATCCTCGTACGAAACATAGTGAACTTAAAGTTCAAAGAATTGTGCATTTGCAGAAAATTGCAAATCAATTGCCTGATGCTTTTAGTGATGCTGCCAGAGTTACGAAATCATATATTGCAACAGCAAATGCACCAGCCAAAATAAATATCCTAGAAGGGAAAGTGCCGAGTGCTAATGAGCATACTGTCCGCGTAAAACGTGGCAGACAGTTGGGTTCCAAAGACAAGAATCCATGAAAGAAGAAAATTGTAAATACTGGTGAAGAGATCAACAATGATCAGATACCCGAAAAGGTCAATACAACCCCTGAAGAGATTGATACCAAAAATTCTGATGAAAGTGATGAAGAAGTTATTGAAACTTCTGTTAACTATACCACTAGTGGAAAAAATTGGAACAGAAAGAAAAAAAATATTGATAATGCATTTGCATATTCTGGAGCACTCGATATAATGAAAGATGATGAGGATTATGAACCAAAATCAGTTGATGAATGTCGGCAAAGAGATGATTGGGCAAAATGGAAAGACGCAATTAAGTCTGAACTGGACTCATTGAAAAAACGGCAAGTATTCGGCTCTATAGTCCAAACACCGGAAAATGTGAAACCTGTTGGTTACAGATGGGTGTTTGTGAAAAAAAGAAATGAAAATAATGATATCACAAGATATAAAGCAAGGCTTGTAGCCCAGGGTTTTTCCCAGAGACCGGGTATTGATTTTGAAGAAACATATTCTCCGGTCATGGATGGAATAACATTCAAGTATCTAGTGAGTCTAGCATTACACAATAATCTTGATATGCGATTAATGGATGTGGTTACTGCCTATCTTTACGGCTCTTTAGACAATGACGTCTATATGAAAATCCCAGAAGAGATCAATATATACCTGAATCATTTAAATCAAAGCCAAAAGAATCATATTCCATCAAATTGTAAAAATCTTTGTATGGGCTCAAGCAATCAGGCCGAATGTGGTACAATCGTCTCAGCGAAAGCTTAACCAAAGAAGGTTACATAAATGACCCTATCTGTCCATGTGTTTTCATAAAGAAAAATGGGTCAGGATTCGTAATCATCGCTGTATATGTCGATGATCTCAATTTAATTGGAACTCCTAATGAAATCCAAAAAGCTGTTGAATATCTGAAAAAGGAGTTTGAGATCAAAGATTTTGGAAAAACTAAGTTTTGCCTTGGTCTGCAAATTGAGCATTTGGAAAGTGGAATCCTTATCCACTAATCAAATTATACCAAAAGGGTACTAAAACAGTTCCTGATGGATAAATCACATCCGCTAAGTACCCCAATGATCGTCAGAGCACTCGATCCAGCAAATGATCCATTTGGACCAAAAGAGGAAAATGAAGAAACACTTGGCCTAGAAGTGCCATATATGAGTGCTATAGGCGCATTGATGTATCTTGCTAACAGCACCTGACCTGATATATCATTTGCTGTAAACTTATTGGCAAGATTCAGCTCATCGCCTACTCGACGACATTAGAATGGAATTAAGCACATTTTTCGCTATCTCCAAGGAACAATTGATCTCGGGTTATTTTACTCGAAAGATTCTCGACATGAATTAATTGGATTTGCCGATGCAGGATATTTATCGGATCCTCATAAAGCCAAGTCACAAACTGGCTATATATTTACTTGTGGCGAAACTGTGATCTCTTGGAGATCAATGAAACAAAATTTAACTGCCACTTCTTCAAATCATGCTGAAATATTGACAATACATGAAGCTAGTCGAGAATGTGTTTGGTTGAGGTCAATGACTCAACATACTCTGAAAAATTGCGGGTTAATACCTGACGATAAAATTCCCCCAACTACATTGTATGAAGATAATACGGCTTGTATAGCCCAATTGAAGGGGGGTTACATTAAAGGAGATAGATCGAAACATATTTCACCAAAATTCTTTTTCACTCATGACCTTCAGCATAATGGTGAAATTGATGTGCAACAAATTCGATCAGATAATAATTTGGCGGATATATTAACCAAGGCATTGCCGACGGCAAAATTTGAAAAATTGGTAAAGAAAATTGGAATGCGTCGGTTCAGGGATCTCCAATAATGCTCAGATCAAGGGGAGAATCAATACAAGAATGATGTACTCTTTTTCCTTCACTAGGATTTTTTGTCCCAGAGAATTTTTTTTTTTCCTAGTAAGGTTTTAACGAGACACATTTTTTGTATAAAAACATCCAAGGGAGAGTGTTGTATACGTAGCACCTATGAAGGTGCTACGTTGTAACCATGTATGCTTTTTCCTTCTGCGTGAGGTTCAATTTTCACCTATAAATATAGGTGCTTGATGTAACCTAAATGAATGACAATAACTACATTCAATTACTTGTCTCTTTCCCCGTCTCTCTCGTTATTTCTCTCTCGTTATTATACATATAAACCTTTGCATATATATATATACTATACATCTATATTATATATTATAATATACACACTCACTTACACACATCTACATATATATATTTACTTATCTATTATATATATATATTATATACAATATATTAAAATAGTGGTTAGCGGTAGAAATAATAAATATTTCTATTGGCTAATCCTTTAATAATATTACTAACACTTGTATGCTTTTAATTGAAATGTTACTTCATTTTATCTGAAAGTTCTAAATTTGAAATAATCAATTCCAAGCATCGAAAGTATTTCAAATGACAAATAAATGAGTAGTGTAGATTAAGTAATAGCTTGGGTTGTGTTAAAAAAATAATTAAATTATAAAAAATAATTAAATTATATATTTTTTATGATCATTTGCACCTCCAATTTTTTATTTTATTACATAAAAATTAATAATAATTCTATATTTTTGTTAATTTGTACTTCTAGGTTTTAATATTTATTTAATTTTAGTAAAAATATTCAGGATGTGTTTCTTTTGGTTAAGTTTGAGAAAATTATGTTTGAATTTGGATTAAATTTGAATTTTAGGTTGGGTTTGAAATGATATGTTTCTTTTGATTTATAGATTTGATTTGAATTTGAAGGTTTTGATTTGTATAGATTTGGTAGATAAAAAGAATAATAATATAAGATATGAATAAATTAAATTTATGAAAATAGTAATAGTGTAATTTGAATATTAATTTTTGTTAATTATAACTAAATATTTACATTTTTATTTAATTATATTATATAAAATTTTATTGTCTACAAAATAATATATATATTTTATCAAATTATTATTATTAAAAAAATTAAAAATTATTTATTAATAATAAATTATGATGGTTAAAATTTAAAAAAAAAAAAAAAAGAAAGGAAAAAGTCAAACACGACAAAATCTAACCCATAGTTGCAGATGTTGTCTGTACCCGAGGCTGATTCTACAATACCATAATAGTAAAAAATCCCAAATCTTGTTCGAAGAAACACACTCTAAATTTTATATAATTTTGTTTAATTTTATTCTAAATATTTAATTCTTCTTATTTTCTTTTTTCTTGTTCTTTATCTGGCTGCATTGGTAGAAATGAAAAAAAAAATATTGAATCAATAAAAATAAATCGATATTTTGTCTCATCTCCAAGATTTCACGTTGATTCTGTCACTAGCTGTGAGCTGCTGCTGAAATCGCTGCTGTACACGCAGATGCCGCTCTGTCGAGTAGCTATAAGGTGCTGTTGGAATCCCCTTTGTGCTGCGGCCGGGACTGAAAAGCGCCGATGCCGGTCCGTTGCTAATTATGCTAAGGTCACTGATGAAATGGTCGTATAAGAGCATGTGCAATGGGCCTTTATTAAAAAAACCTAATTTATGACCTGGATTCAAGGTGTCCAAGCTTGAACGTGTAGCAGAGATTTTTATTTTTTTTTGTACTGCACAATGATGACTCCAAATAGGAGCATATTCTTAGTTTGACAAAACTGTATATTACTCGAATTTCTGTATAAAAACCATCAATGATTCATTAATGTCATACATTATTGATATATATTGTAATACCCCGATTTTGGAGTGTATAAAATAATATTATTATAGCAAATAAATATTTTTATAATATTTTGGAATAAAAAAATTAATACTTTGAAATAAATTTTATTCCTATTTTATATATTGATTATGATTGAAAAAACTGTTAAACGGATAAATACAAATATAAAATATAATATATATAATAATAATATAATAATAATAATAATAATAATAATAATAATGATAAGGATGGATGATGACGAATATATAATAATAATAATAATAAATATAAAAGAAAAGTAAGCATAATTTTCACGAATATTTTTAATTTTTTTACTATACATTTATAACAATTTTAATAAACGGTTGATTTTTATTTTCCACCAAATATTAGACTCTCTCTATCCCCTATAATTATATCAAGCTTTTTAATTGTCAGTTTATGCATATTAATAAATTATTTTATTTAATCATAATTTTATTACATTTATTTTGACAAATAATAATAACCGCTATATTTTTTTACTTATCGTATTATATTTTTCATCAACTTTTTAACAAATTTTCTATAATATTTTAATTTTATATTTTACCTACTTCACTTTTATATTAAAATACTCTTATTATTTTAATTTTTGTATTCAAACAAAATAACAGAATTAAATCGGGATAAAAAATATTAAAATATTATTTTTATAAATAAAATTATTTTTTTCGTTTCAACTCAAAAAAACTTTTTCAAAATTTATAGTAAATTAGAAATTAATAATATTTTATTAGTCAGTATGAAAGTGTCGAAGAGCTTTTATATTTTTGCTTGTATATATATATTTGTAATATAAATAAAAATTAAAAATATTTTAGTATTAGTATATAATTATTATTTTTAAATAAAAAATAGATACTTTGAAATATTAATGACTTAAATGATAAAAAATATTTTAAATTAAAATTAAAATAATAATAAATTTAAAAAAACTAGAAACCGTATCCAATGTGCATACATACGCACATATAAGTAAATAATATAAATGCACATACAACCCTAACAAATCAAACAAACCATCGCATCATCATCATACTAAGATCATGTGTCCCAAAACAAACTTTATCCACTTGTTTGAAGGTTCCATATCCTGTCACACATAGTTCGTCTACACTGACCGAACTGACCTTTGAATTTTGAGGGGTGCAACTACGTAAAAGAGAAGGAAAAATTAAAAAAAAGAAAAAGTCAGACAAAAATAATGGAATCGAAAAAAATGAACATAATTATATAGCAAATTTTATTATTTTTTACTAAAAATAAATAAATATTATAGCAAATTTGGGGGAACGGGAAAAATTATTATAAATACATCCTTATTTTATTTTTCAAACTAAACAAAAAATAAATTTTGGGGGCTGGGGTCACTTGCCCCTACCCTTACATGCTTTCGTGACTTTTGTCCATATTCACCTAATGTGACTTATTTTTTTGGACTTAATTTATACTTTTGGTAACGATTACGAGTTCTCATCTCACTCAGAGGATCCCATAGATATTTACAATACCCATAATTTCATGCATATATTGGTTTTTTATTTTATTTTATTTTATTTTTTCTATATATATACTAGAAAGGTTACAAATTTCTAAAACCCATCAAGCTAGGTGTATGAAAAATCCTCCAATGTGTAGGAGCCTAAGCAAGCTTGTGGTGCCGATAGCCGCCGCCGTCGCCGTTATCGTCACAGTATTGCATGTAGTGTTGCTACATGTCGACGCCGATGGACAACGGGGATTGCAATCACAGTCCGATTTGCGGCAATGCGTGGCCGGGTGTGCCAACGAGATGGCGACATGCATGGTGGGCTGCGCCGGGGCCGAGTCGGGAGCCATCTCGTGCTACCAAGGCTGCGGCGCCACCGATGTTGCCTGCGTTTTCTCTTGCATACGTATCCAAAACGGGCAAATAATTTACTAATCTTATTTATGAATTGTTGTTTTAATGTATTGTATCGTATCTAACTGCTATTTCGACAAAGAAATTAAATTGAACTACGAAAAGAATGAACTTATAATCATTGTATTTGTAAAAGTCAAGATTATAAAATTTTACGCAAGTATTATACGCCGATTTTAAAATTTCTGTATCGCTGAATTAAATTTTAATTATTTATTTAGATATTATCTAATTTAAATAAAATTGTTAGATATTGATTAAGAGATCATATTAATTTCATATCACGTTGAATTAATATGTGAATAAACACATGATCTATTGCCAAAGTCGAATAGCTAATCACAAAAATTTGTGACATATAAATTGGACACATGCATAGCAATTTGAGTGGCTTTATATTTGATATTTATTTTTTTGCGTTATTATATTTAACATTAAAATTATTTTTATATTTATATTATAAAATATTAATAGAAATATTTTATCATTTTCATTTTATTTGTACTATATTTTAATATAATTATTAATATTAAAAAATCAATTAAAAAAAAAAAACAAATGTAAATTTTGAAAGTTAACGAAGAGTATTAAATGAAAACATTACTTATTTTCTTAATAAATCAGATATATTTTACTATTTAAGAAACTCAGAAATAATAAACAAACATTTGAATCTTATAATAAAAAATTAAAATATCATATTGTTTCATATAAAATTATCAAATTACCCAAAAATACTTCAATCTTTGTACATTGTCACTAATATTTTCGGATTTATTTTTTGCGAAATTCTCGATTGTTGTTCGAATTCTTTTTTGAAAACTTATTAAGCCGAGTTGATAAAAAATTAATGGGATTCTCTAGAGAATCCATCCGATTTCCGATTGACTTGACTCGATAGCCGTCGAAAATTAATTTGAGCGACAACAAAACTGTTACGACAGTTTATAACTACCAGGTACTTAGCCATAAATGCAACTCTAGTCAAAATCAAGTAATCAACGGCCAGGATTAAATCCATCGGCATAACAATTTTAAAAAATGCGACTTTAGTTCAAGAATCGCTATCCCAAAACCCGTTTTTGAGGCAAAGTCGCTATTCCATTCTGCGGACCCACGGAGTTGCCAAAATGCGGATATAACAAAGTCGGTGTTGACCGGCGTTCACCGTGCCTTTCTTTCCTTTTGCGGTTATGCAGTTTTATCCGCTGGAGGTTTTCCACGATTTTCATTCAATTTCTTCACCAAACGTGTTTCCGCCTCACAATTTCGGTTTTCACTTGCCTTTTCTTGAAGCCCGCCTCTAAATTTGTTGAATATATGCTCGACGGTTACGAATTAGGGCCATTGAATATTTGATCGTTATCCGGCTGCTGCAAACTGGGCGTGGAGGAAGAGTGGAAACGGATGGAGCTGAAGGGGAATTTCTTGCAGCAATTCAAGGTTAGGGAAACTCAGTTGGCGTTGATTCTCCCAAACAAACGCAAATCGCTACTCGTCGTGGGAATGTTTACTAGGTAATCACGAATTTGGCATTTTTCCAAAGATTATTTTGTTTATTATTGGAGTCTGGATGCTGCCTGAGCTCGCTAGTGTTTGATTTTGCTATAAGTGTTTTGTGATTTGCATGGTTAATTTATAGAATAATGGTGTTTCGATGCTTGGTATAAGTTACTGTTAGTTAGCGGTTATTCGTTGTTCTGTATTTCTTCCTGTTTTGTGTAACGGTTTGCAGCAAGAATTTTTGTAGCTCTAAATTGGAAATTGGAAGGGGGAAGACTAGGCTGGTATGGTATCATTGTTCTTTGTAGAATGGATGGAGAGAATAAATAAAATTAAGCACGGGTAATACTGATATGATTGCCATTTGATTTATTTGATTTCCTTGATTCTTTGATGTTGTTCTCCCATGTAATATTATCTTGAATGTGCTGCATAAATTCCTGCTTTCAGATCTTCTTGTTTGTTTAGGTATGCTTGTTTGTGTTCTAGGTGTTAAGTATATGAAATTGCCTTTTGTGGGGGTATCATTAAACTTGCAGGTATTTGAATATGTTTGTTTGGATTGTGTAGAATTATGAAGCTGTGGTTATCAAGTGAACCATTTTTGCAAATATGAGAGCTGACCATGAGGATGAAACACTTTAAGTTTAAGGATGATAACCTTTAAATTTAGGGGAAGCTGTGAAGGAGCTAGCTTCTTTTATCGGTTTCCACTTTTTTCTGTCATATACTTCTACAACATGCAGTTGTTCTTGATATGTTGAGTGCACTTTGGGTATTTGCCTTCTTGTTTACTATCAACATTCTGTCTTCTTGTGGCGTGTAATATATATGTATGGTGTTTAGTGGGAGACGAGAGTGTAGAAAAATATAATAAAACTGTCTTGTCTTTCACATTCAGCTTTGTTAAATTTGGTAGCACGTAGCCTATGGAGAAATAAATTAAATGTATTAGCAGTTTAGCACATGTATTAGATACAATCCAAGCACATGGGATATATGTGCTGTCTGTAAGATGTTTCAACTATTAACAAACATACCTATGAAATTATGTGCCTTGCCTTGCAATGACTATGTTCCGATCTGAGGTGAAGATAGTTTACTCTTGAGACGGCCGGGAAAAGAACTGTAACAAAGCTATAGTCTCAACTATTTGAATTTCAAATTTGAGCGACTTATTCAATGATGTTAATGACATGAGATAAGATAAAACTTGCATTTTCTGATTTTGATGTGTTATCTGCTATCATGATATTGTTTGCTATTACGTCTCATTAATATCCGAACCTTCAGTTATTACTTCTTCAAATTTTACTGAATGATCATAACCACTTTATATTGCAATTGCATAATATTTTACTAAACATTCCAGATGTGGACTAGGTAATAAGTTATTTCCACCGGTTTCAAGAACTAGAAAATACACTTTCTAACATCCCTCTAGATCATTTTTAACATTCTTTTTGACCCACCTTTTGTACATCAAAATCCCGCAGAGAGACATTTCCTGCTCATTACTATAGATGGAAGAATCTAGAGGTTCATTGCAACAATGATCAAAGCATCCAGCGCTTGCCTCTTTCTAAGAAAGAAAGCTCAAAGCTGCCTGAACTCTCATTTGACCGAAAGCAACTTACTGATGAAGAATGTGCTGGACTGAAAAACTGGAACTTTGGTCGTTTTGTTGCTCGTGAAGCTATTCTGGATGAAGAGTATTGGGTTAGATATGATCGTCCTGTCTCTGTCTAATTAATTGCATGAAAAGCACCTGACAAAATCCATGTGCATCCTCATATGAACTTGCACATATAAGAACTTATTTTGTGTGCCTTGTATAAATTTTATTTCACATATTATTTTCTGAAAGAACTTCAGATTTCTTGTCTCCATGTCTGACTAACAATGGCAGACGGCAGCATGGCTCCGAGCAGAAGCCCATTGGGAATCCTTCTCATATATGAGGTCATACATTAGTTGATATCTTATATCCATTCATTGTAATGAAACCTTCTATTGCGTCAAGTATTTATTAAATTTGTTCTATTCAACAACCTATAAGTGCCATACTTGATTTTGATTTGCTTCATATTTCAGGCATGTTGACAGTTACAAAAGAAAATATGCTGAAGAGGTGAGTTGCAACCGAATTATGGGTTTACAAGTGATGATCTTTACAGGATCCAACTTTTAATTTATTGCAGTTGACTTGGAAACTAGCTAAGATCAGATTCCTCATCCTGTCTGGTAGTAATAAATGGAATCTGACTAATCTGTTCAGTTAGCTCGAATAAGAACCTTTAGATTTTAGATCGTATTGTCTTGAAATTGTATAGATAGACTACCTCCAATTTGTTGTGTTTTTTCATCTTGCTTTTTCCTTCCTGTTTCTTTAATGCCACAGTTGCCACCCAACCAATTTTTTATGACCTCTCTCTCTCTCGTACTCTCTCTCATACTCATAATTTATCCGGAGAATGTTGGTTAATGATTTATCATCATATTGCTCCGTATTGAATATGCTTGCTCTATATACGTCATCACATTGTTATCGAAAGTATGAATTTGTTTGTTTTGTTTTTAGCTCTTTAATGTGATTTAACTTGATGACCAGCTTTTTTTAGCTCTTAAGTGTCCTTTTACCTCAACTTGATTTGGCATTGGCATATATTTACAGGAGTTTTATGCATTGAGACGAAGATGTCATGGGCAGGAAGGAAATTCACTGAACTGCTTCTGTTTCGTTGCAGTAAGTCAATTAACCTTTAAACAATTTCATTAATCTTCTTGCCTTGCTTACGTACGTCTGCTGAAGAATTGAGATATGCACTCTCTACTTCCCCCTTAAAGCTGACAATCCTTTTTCCTTATTGCTATAATGTTCCATATGTCATTGGCTAGATTTTATTCTGTTCATCTCTGGGCAATAAGTCTCTCTTGTTGATGATCCTTACAAGCTTTTTCCATTTGGTTGTGTGGCTGAACATACATTTTATTAGTACATTTTTGACCTTTAATTTCAGTCGGGAACCGTGATGGTTACAGTTCTTTGCGGCATTATTATTATTATTATTATTATTTATTGATTTATTTACTTTTCTTCACTTTGCAGGTTAAAAAGGATGATAAAAATGGTAAAAGAACTGTACTGAATAGCATAGTGGGAACTTTGGACTTGAGCATAAGGCAATTTGTCCATGGCGAAACACATCCTCGGGTACTTATATTAATTGTGGATATAATATGATCTGTCATTCTACTTAGTTGCCAATGATTAAAGATTTCATGTGTGCAACTAAATATCCTTGGATGCTAATTGTGTCTGCATTTTTGCATGTTCAAAATTTTTGTTATTTCCAATATTTAGTTTTTTCTTGGAAATATTTTGGGTGTAGCCTGGTGGATTCTTTCTTTGCCATGTAATTTTGGTTGAAGCTTAATACGAGCAGCTTGAAAAAAGATCATGTCTGCTTTTTCCCCTAAAGCTGAGGATGCTTATTATACAAATTATTGTTTTTCTTGCAGGAAGCAAAGAGACTATCGGCTGTTATGGCTAGCAAAGAACCCTTTGATACACATAAATACGCCTACATTGCTAATGTATGCGTTGCAAAATATGCTCGTCGCCAGGGTATTGCTTCAAACATGTTATACTTGGCTACTGATGTAGCCAGGACTACAGGTATCCCATCCCAATTTCAAGATTAGCTACTCAGAAGAATATCCTTCAATTTTTCCATATGCCCCCATCTTTATCCTCTAATTCATAAAATACGTCTAAAATGAATATTTCTTTCTTCTCTATCTGCTGTGCAACAGGGATGAATCAGATCTTTGTCCACGTAGATCCCAACAACAAACCTGCTGAGGATCTGTACACAAAAGTTGGCTTCCAGGTTATTTTCTTTAAGCTTTATATCATCAGTTAATTGGTGATCTCTGCTTTTACAACCTCATAATTCTCGAATTCCCGCTTCTTACTCTTCTAAATACAACTTCTATTATGTTAAAACCCCTTCTGATCTAATAGAGTAATTTTGAGTGACGAAAAACTCGTGCTCTTGATTTGGTGCACATAAGTAAAAACCGTTGTTTGATTTATCTTACGAGTACATATATTATTACTCAGGTGGTGGAGGCAGCTTCATCGGATGCGTCCAAAGATCAGCTGACACTCATGTGCATGAAATTGTAAGTTTGTGATGCAGAGAAAGAAACACTGTCAATAATAGGACAGCACGGCCATATTTGTGATGCCGGCTTCTATCATCCAGATGTGTATTTGTTCCATCCGATTTATAAGGGTCGAAAAGTAGAGCGCAAATGTGAATTGTACGTATTACAAGCAGATACAAATTTGTTTAGTTTGGGGAATGATATATACAAAAGGCTCATATATAGTGTGGTGTATATTGATTGATTGATTGATAACAAAACATTCCTTATACTACATGATATACATGAGAGGCTTGTTTTGTTATATGTTTCCCCTTGTTCCTTATTTTGAGTTGATTTGTATGAGAATAGTTGATAATAGTCGTCGGGTTTGAAATCATGACTTCACCTCCACCTCCACTATGCTTATTTATATTTGTATTGTTTATTACTTAGATATTAATTTTATTTAAAATATTATATTACAATATATTCATTCAACTATATAGGTAAATCAAAGCCTAGCTTTTACTAAAGTGCAAAATATCTAAACCACAACTTGAGTGTGTTTCTTTTCGGTTTTTCTTTTCATTAATTTTACTCTTTGGATTTCTATAAAAAAAAAAGAAAAAAAATGAAAATGTCAAGGCATGAATCACATGCTAATCCATGCTAATATGACATCATGTTGATTTGACCAGAGTGTCGTAAAGATGAACAATATTTATGGTATATATCACATCATATTTATAATATATATGATATGTTATAATACAATATATATATATATTGTATTATGTAAAAATATATATTGATCAAGTCAAATTAACATTACGAGAGTTGCACCAAAAAAATTACTATATTTTCTAATTTTATATAATATCACGTCAAGAATTATTTAAATATAAAATCAAAACCAAAATTTTTTCAATATAAACTAAAAGAATCACACAAAAAAATTATTATATTTTCTAATTTTATATAATATCACGTCAAGAATTATTTAAATATAAAATCAAAATCAAAATTCTATCAATCTAAACTAAAGAATCACACCTAGTTTTCAACTATTTGGATTTGTGGTTGCAAGTTTAGTTGGATGATATTTATCTATAATATAATATCATATATAGTTAAAAATAAATTTAAATATGTATATTAAAAATTAAATTTCAATAATATAAATATATACTCTATGCTTTCCATAACTATTGTATCCATTTGCTTTCTACAAGGAGTTTTAAAAATATTAGTATTATATTAGGATATAGTAGAAATAAAGTAGAAATGCCTATAATGACCTTATTAGTATTGTGTGATATAAAGGTAATGATATTTATATAATATATTGGAAGTTGTAAGGGTATTTGTAATATTAGGCAGATAGTATAAAAAAGAAGGAAATAAATACTTTGTTACGGGAAAGACCAAAATGAAAAAATGGATACTTTGTTATGGGAGAAAGAGAGTATATATTTTAACAAAATTTATATAATACAAATAGAAAAAACATATATTTAGTCATACATATTTAATATAATTCAATTTCAAAACAAAAAAAATGAAAAATGAAAAAACTTTAAATGTAATATATATTTATTTGTAGAAAATAAATGTAGAAATGAAATATTATAAGTTCCAAATCAACCAAATAGACCCAATTTTTAATTTTGAATCTTGTTGAAAATTGGCACTTCTAAGAATATAGTATATACATAAAATTACTTGATTTTGTTTGTTTCATGTAACACATAATTTTTTAATATTTTATCATAAAAAAGCCTCCTAACAGAATAAATGGCCATCTGAGAGTTATATTACTGCACATGATCTAACTACAATCATTTTATTTGGAGGTCTTGTAATTTTGAGAGTTATATTACCCGTATTTTTTTGGCTACATTTGACCTGAATTGTACTCTGAGGTCTTGTAATTTTGAGATCATGCATTTGTAAGTTTTTCTTCTTGCAATTCTGTATCTGAAATATGCTATTTGCCATCTGTCAGTTGCCTGGGTACGATCTGAAATTTGTAGGTGCTATGTCATATGTCCGTTTGCTTGTCCGTTGCTTGAAATATGTCTGCGATCTGTCATTTTTCCGCTGGTTGTCTATTGTCTGTGTGCGATTTGTTTGGTGTTTGCGATCTATTTATTTCGGCTCCGGTAGAGAGTCATGTTGTTTTCGACTCCGGTGGAGAGTCAACTTCCGGTAAAGAGTCAACTGCTTTTGGCTCCGATGGAGAAGCATGTCGTTTTCGGCTCCGTTGAAGAGTCATGTCGTTTTTGGCTCTGGTAGAGAATTATGTCGTTTTCGACTCCGGTGGAGAGTCATCTCGTTTTCGGCTCTGGTGAAGAGTCAACTATTATTTGGTCCCGGTGAAGAGTCAACTGTTATTTGGTCCTGATCGGGAGTCACCTGTTATTTTTATTTGCGTTACGTCTAGTTTCTGTAATACCATTTGAATTTGAAGAGATGTTGAGATATTTTAAATCTTCGGTTATAAATTTAATAAAATTTATATTTAAATTTGATCTTATCCATAGATTATTTTATTATTTTTTCCAAAAATTTGTAACATTGTGCTAACTACAATCATTTTATTCGGATAATATTAATTTGATATGCTGCATTAGTGTAGCAAATCAAACAAAATATCATATTTAAATATAATATATATGTATATATTTTAGGGGAAACTATCTTTTAGTTCCGTAGCTGAACCCCTTATCATTTTAGTCCCGTAAGTGAAATATGTTGCAAACTAGTCCCATAAGTGAAAATTTTTTGTTGTTTTAGTCCTCCGGTGCCGGAGACGCTTGCGTGGTTCGCCGGAAGCCACGTGTCCGCCAAGTGTCCCGCTAAGTCAGCGACACCTGGCGGACACGTGAATTTTATTTATTTTTTATTTTTTTAATTGGACCAAATAAAAAAATTAAAAATAAATTTTAAAAAAAATTTAAAAATAAAAAAATTTAAAAAATAAAATCACGTATCCGCCAGATGTCGCTGACCTGGCAGACACGTGGCCTCCGGCGAGCCACCGACACCGGAGGACTAAAACAGAGAAAAATTTTCACTTATGAGACTAGTTTATGACAGGTTTCATTTACGAGACTAAAATAATAAAGGAATCCAGCGACGAAATTAAAAAACAGTTTACCCTGTATTTTATTAAAAATAAGAAAAGTCAAAACGAGTTAAAATTAATAAAATTCTATGAAAATACTGGTTGAAGTGAAATTAAAGCATTAATTAACTAATTTTACATTATATATACACCTATCTATACTTGAAAATATATAATACTTTAGACATGATTTTTGGAAATTATATTTTGGTTTGGTGATTTTGGATTTGAATTTCTTTTAATTGAAAATATAGTATTAAAGTTTGAAATTTGTTTGGATATAAAGTTTAAATATATTTCTGGAGTATTATATAATAAATGATGTGAAAATAGAATATTAATTTAATACATTTATAAATAATAAATTTAATTTAATTTTGTAAATATCATCTATATCATTTTGTTGAAAAAATTCTATATAATACAAAAACATAAAAATATTAACATAATTATTAATTTAAATTAATTTAAAACAAACAGGGCACATATAATTATATTTAATAGTAGTATAATATTAGCGTTAAACGGCTGCTATTTACGAAATTATTATATTTAAATTTAATTATTAATTAATTTTATCTGATTTTTTAAAATTGTAAAATACATAAAAAAATATCTATACATAAATATCTTTAATTAAATATATCTATAAAACAATTATATAATCTAATATATTTATGCTTTATGCGTCAGTATTCTAAATATATTGTATTTGTAATTTATTAGACACTATTTAAATTTAAAAATTTTATATGATTTCAATTAATTCTCGTATATTTGACGAGAGATATTAATCGAATCATTAAATTGAATTGATTATGAATATTTGAATTAATATTTGTTATATAGATCGGCAAAAAAACAAGCAAAAAAACAAAAATAAAAATTGAATAGACAATCTACTACAAAAATTATAACAAAATTAATAATAGTTATATTATTTCGCAAGTTATTATTCCATATTTGTCTCAAAACATTGCGATGGAAATGAGGGTCACTAGTTTCTTTGCAATTTTCTGTAACGAAAAATTTTAATTGTTATTTCGGATTACTATAATAAGATTTACTATAAGTCTCACTGGAACGTAAATTTTGTTGTAATTGAAAATTGTTACAAAAATTTTATAAATTGTGATATAATTTTTCTAAAGTAATTTGCAATTTTATTTTATTTTTTTTGTAGTGTCCGCAGAGATGCGAGGACGAAGAGTTTATATATATATACACATTGTGCGGTAAAGTCTCAGAGCAAAATGGAACACAAAGTTCTTGAGCATTGAATGTTACGACTGTGTTCTTCTTACGTACCTCTATTATTTTTATATTATCTACACAATTTCGTATACTTCACGTAAAAAATTTCATTTCCAACCACTTCACAAAACAAACAAACTGGCATTGCCACAAAAAAAATACTCTATCCGTCTCACTTACTGTGTCCACATTTCTACTTTCGTCTGTCCCACTTATTCTATTATTTTATTTTTTTAAAAAAATTATACACTTTAATTACATATTAAATTTTTTATTTTTAATTTTTTTTTTTTAAATTTTAATTAGACTAATTGGTTATTTTAATCTTAATCAAAAATTATTTTTATTATACGATAGTTAGTTTTACTAATACATTTATAATTATTTACTAATTATATCCCTCTTAAATTTCTATGCCTACAGTAAATGAGACACGATAGCCGGGACGGAGGAAGTACTATATAAAAACAGAAATGGTTGGAACAGTCAGAAGGAGAGCGATAATGTATATATATTTATAATATAATTAGTATTATAGTATATAAATTATGATTATATTTATAATTAAATATAAAATATTAAAAATAATTTATTTTCTCTGCTTGTCTGCAAAAGTTATATTTATATTTTGTGCTATTATATTCAACACTAAAAATAATTTTTATATTTATTTAATTTTTTATACAAATGTTATTATATTAGTATTATAAAACACTAAATAAGTATTTTTGCTATTTTCTATTCTTTGTACTACATTTTTGATGTAATAATTATTATTCAAATATCAATATGTGAAAAGTAAATGTAACACTTGCAGTCGGACGAATGAAGTATAAAATTATATAATTTTTATTTAATTTTATAAAATAATTAATATAATTTTTTATAATTTTAAATATTGTATTATTAAAAATATAAATTTTTTTAATAATAATTATAAT